AGATAAGGGTCTTGCTTCATTTTTCTGAAGGTAAATATCCATTTTTTCCAGCACCACTTGTTAAAGAGGGCATCTGCTTCCCATTGGATATTTTTTGGGCCCTTATCAAAGATCAGTTGTCTATATGATGATTTTGCTTCTGGGTTTTCAGTTCCTTTCCATTGGTCTGAGTATCTGTCATTATACCAGTACCATGAGGTTTTGACAACTGTGGCTGTGTAGTATGTGCTAAAGTCAGGTAAGGCAAGCCTTCCCACTGTGTCCTTCTTCTTGAGGAGTTCTCTGCTAATTCTGGGCTTTTTCCCTCCCCATATGAAGTTGGTAATCAGTTTTTCCATTTCTTTGAGGAAAGATGAGGGTAATTATATCGCAATTGCATTAAACTTATATAGTGCCTTGGGCAGAACTGACATCTTTACTATATTGAGCCTTCCAATCCACAAGCATGGGATATTCTTCCATTGTTGAGGTCACTCGTGGTTTCTTGTAATAGTGTTCTGTAGTTTAACTCATATAGATCTTTTGTTCTTTTAGTCAGGTATATCCCTAGATATTTCAATTTGTGCTTGGCTATTGTGAAGGGTACCACCTTTTTGATCTCCTCTTATGTGGTCTTATCTGATGTGTATAGATGTCTGATGAACTTCTGTTTGTTGATATTGTGTCCTGCCACTCTGCCAAGCTCCTCTATTGCTTCCGGTACTCCCCTTGTGGAACTTCTGGGATTTTCCATATATAAAATCATATCATCTGCAAATAACAATAGTTTCACCTATTCCTTCCCTAGACGAATACCTCTGATGTCTTTTCTTTGCCTTATGCTGTTAACTAAAACCTCCAGCACAATATTAAATAAGAGTGGGGACAAGGGGCATCCTTGTCTGGTCCCCTTTTTCAGTGAGATTGTGTTAGTCTTTTCTCCTTTGACTACCACGCTGGCTGTTGGTTTATCATATATAGCTTGTATTGTCTTGAGGAATTTTCCTTCCACTCCTATCTTCTCAAGTGTCTTAAACAGGAATTGTTGGATGTTGTTGAGTGCATTTTCTGTATCTATCGATATTATCATATGGTTCTTATAGTTTTTTCATGTCAATGTGACTGATGATACTAATGGTCTTTTGTATGTTGAAACATCCCTGCATCCCTGGTATGAATCCCACTTGGTCATGGTGAACTGTTTGTTTTATATACTTTTGTATTCTATTGGCCAGTATTTTGTTAAGGATTTTTGCATCAATGTTCACTAGGGATATTGTTTTGTAGTTCACGGTTCTTGTGGGATCCTTGTCTGGTTTTGGTATCAGAGTTATACTAGCTTCAAAGAAGGAGTTTGAGAGTTTGGCATGTTTTTCTATGTTCTGGAGGAGTTTGGGTAGAATTGGTGTTATTCTTCCCTAAATGCTTGCTAGAATTCTCCAGTGAACCCATCTGGCCCAGGGGATTTTTTGGTTGGTAATCCCATGATAACCTTGTGTATTTCTTCTATTGCTATGGGTTTGTTGAGATTCTTGACAGATAGAGAGAAGAGAGGGAAACAAAAGTAACAATATAGCTGAGCCCTGATCCCTGCCCGTGGGGCTGCAAGTGTTTAATCCCTGCCCCAAGGCGGCAGCAAGCTGCGGCTGTGTTGAGATTAAGCCCCTGTGCTGGTTCCCAATGGTCCCACCACCGGCCGAGACAGTGGTGGGGTTAAAGTCAAGCCCTAGCCGGCCTCCACTGTGGTAAACCAAAAGCCCCAGCCCCTCAGAACCTTGTGGATCTGTGCCTACTTATCTTTATGATGCACCTCCTGCCATCCAGCAGTGTTGAATTTCCCTCTTAGTAACTCTCCTGGGCTGATTTCTGCGGAGTCCCTCTGGTATGTGTTACTCAGTCGCCTTCTTCCCGGAAGTCCTTCTAGTCTCAGAACTTAAGGGACAGTTCTACCTTGACCAATGGGGCCCTTATGAGTCGGCATCAACTCAGTGGCAAGGAGCTTGGTTTTTGGTTTATCAAGAAAAGATCTTCCTAGTATATGACCAGGGACAAGAGGGGTAGAGGAGACAGGAAGTAAGAGACTAGAAGGTGGATAGGTGTAAGCTTGGGTGAGAAGGAAGACAAGATCCTAAAAGGGGGAGAGAGGGGGTCCAGAATAGGACAAGCCCTGGGGGGAGAGTGGATTGGCTGGTGGGGTTTTGAATGCAAAAATGATGATCCAATATGTAAATTCACACCTAATTTACAATTTTAAAGTTTTGTTTGTTTTTTTTTAAGTGAAATAAAACGGTTAGTTGAGCTGCAAAAAAAAGGTGTTGTACCATATAGGCCCATGTGTCTGCCTTCATTCTGGTCATGTATTTCCCCGCCAGACCAGTAGGTCCTAGAAGGGCAGGGATTGTGGAAGCGCTCCGGCCCACCGTGTACCCATGGGACGGTGACATTGAAGTGATGATGAACAGGAAATAATCAATGGCCTCAACAAGTAGCTGCCGCGGACCATTTCCACGGGCTGGGATTAGACTGCGGACAGGCTGTAACAGATGGAATAGAAGTCAAAGATGTAACAGGCGTTCCCTGGAAAAGGCCATCTTCTTGACCCTCGTCCCGGCCCTCCGCACCTTCCCGAGCAGCCACCATTGTTAAGTCTGTCACTGAACCACCTCTTGCTGTCACGTGGACCCCAACTCAGGGCATCCTTACCTGTGTCAGAATAGAGCTGTGTTCAGGGCCGTGGGAGGGGGAGATGGGACTTGAACTCCCAGCCTCTCAGCAGCCAAACGTGTTAACCATTTGTACCACCCGGGGACTCCTTTAAAGTTAGAGTTGTACAGAATTTGAGTGTCTCTTTAGACTACAAGCTTTCATGAAAAAATAATGCTAATTTTCCTTATCTTTCCTTCACTTCTCTACCATTTCAGTGTTTATTTTAGAGGTGTGATTGTTTTCCTTGTAAAAATACAGCTGTCCTGACCCAAAGGAGGCAGTATTCTTACACCTAGAAAGATTGTAAATGGCTTGTGACAGACTCCCAGCCTGCCCTTCTGTTTTAGACTCTGTGCAAAGATAATAACGATGAGTCACCAGGGCAGACCTGCCCTTAGCTTGGAGCCCCTGGGTTAAGTCGCTCACATAAAGAGTAGACGTGCACGTCGACCTGAGATGCCCGGAAGAAATCCCTGGCAATCTACCTCTGAAACCCGTGGAGCACAGTTCTGCTCTGACACACGACTTGGAGTCACTGGCTAGCAGCAGGATTTTGGGGTGGCTTTACATGTGTGTCCATGCCTGTCTGTCTGTGTGGGGTGAGTCCACGTCTATCTATGCTCCCCGTGCAAGTGAAGCCCTACGCAGATCATGGTCCGCATGGCGCTGTGGGTGCAGGGATGGGGATGTGCTCGTGGAATCAATGGGGGAGGAACCCAGCAAGGTGGCTGGAGAAGGCCAGGCGGGAACCACAGGCTCTTCTTTGTTTTGAGCGGGGAGAATGGGCAGTAGTTAGATGTCGGAGGCCCTTGAACGGCAGTTGAAGAGCCGTGGACTTTACCCTGTTGGTTTTCAGTAAATATTTGCGTATATTCATGAGCTAGCTCTGCGGTTCCTTCCCTCATCATGACAGACACGCTGTATTATACACTTAGTGCCCAAACCCATGGATGCCACACGTAGCTTTGTGGGCTTGCTCACTCTCCTGGGCCGACTTCTCAAACCACAGACACCAGGATGCACTCTGTCGGACAAGCCACGTGCCCTGGTGAAGGAGACCCGTCTGGGGACTCTGGTGGTGGAAGTGGATTTGGGAAGCTGTGGGGAGGGGGTAACTCTTTGTGCAGGAATTCAGAGCTGTGGAGGCCCCCACCAAGGTGTTCTTTAGGGACAGGCGGTCCCCTTCCCCTGGTAACAGCCACTCGAGGTAGACGCACCCTCACCTGTGCACAGGCTCCATCCCGCCACGAGAAGCCAGCCTCACAGTGACAAGTGCTTTGAAGACGGATAGTATCTCCTCGGCTGTCCACTTCGGTGTTGGCGTCACCCCAGTAAGGCAGGCTGGGGGCCTTGCTCAATGCTGGGCGCACCAGAACCCAGCGTAGGACCCTCACCATCATCACTCGGAGATCCGTGGTGTCTTCTTATCCTGTTTGGTCCCTTTCTTATAACCATGCGTGGGACCTGTCCATGGTCTCTCTGGCCTCATCAGAGCTACAGTGAACCCTCGTTTATCGCGGTTAATCGGTTCTAGACCCTACCGTGATAAATGAAATTCCGCGAAGTAGGATTCCTTATTTGTAAATCAAATATTTTCGTAGTTAGAGCATAGAGGACATGAAAAAACACCCTTTAGTCACCATTACACTCGTATTACCCAATTTATTAAACGAAAAAAAGAAAATACAGTAAAACATTTTGGACGTTACAATTATCATTTATTATTTATTATATTATTTATGGCATCTAGTTTACAGTATTACATATTTCACATACAGTATTATTATACATAGTTCTTACAAATACTGTAATCAATAGCCTATGAAATGACTTAAGGGATGTACTCTACAGGTGGGTCGCCGTCTTTTTCCTCTGAAGGAGCGGGTGTAGGCAGTGGGTGCTGTTACGCAAAAACCGCTGTAGAGTGAAGCTGCGGAAGTCGAAGCGCGAAGTGGCGAGGGTTCACTGTACTTCTGTCCGTTGCCAATAGCACCGCCTGCTTCCTCACGTGTTACTTCCTCTCGTTGGCAGGCCCTGCAGAGTAACCTGAAGTACTCCTTGTTGCCAAGGCGGCTCATCATCAGCAAGCGACTGGCCCAGTGCTTGCACCCGGCCTTGCCCAGCGGGGTGCACTTAAAAGCCCTAGAAACCTACGAGATTATCTTCAAAATTGTCGGGACCAAATGGCTGGCCAAAGATTTGTTTCTCTACAGGTACGGTGGCCTCTCTGCCTCGTTGCACTCCACTCCTCATCCAAGCAATTCCTGTTCCGTCTCCCACGACTAGAAAATGACAAACGAGCAAAAGGGCGAGGAAGGGGTAGAAGGATCCATACAGCCATCGCGAGGAGCTCCCTCCGGCTGTTGTAAAAACCTCTAGCTTAAGCAGGGGGTTACTGTGCATGCCCCTCCTTCCCTCACAGAGTACTGTGTTCATGCCTGCGTGTCACTTTTCAATGGTGGTTCATCTGCCTTTTAAAACTCCCTGCACCTGCCTTCCCCTTTGGAACTCCTGGTTGAGCGCCTGTCTCGCTCCTAGGGCCACCTTAGCAAAACCCCATCAAGTGCATGCCTCCAAGGAGCAGGAATGAGCTCCCTCACGGTCCCCAAGGGTAGGAGTCCCATCAAGGTGTCGGCAGTGGCCCTTCCTCCTGAGGCTCTGCAGGGAGCTCCTTCCTGCCACCTCTCCCCAGACTTCTGGTGACGCCGGCAGTCCTGGCGTTCCTGGCTTCCCTTCACGTGAGTCTTCCCCTTTATGTGTGCCCCAGTCCCCATGACCCTCCTCACCTTTCATCAGACCCCACTCAGAAGGGGTTAGGATTCGACCCACCCTGCTCCCGGATACTTCATTTACCGTAGCTGATGTCATCGAGGAGAGGCCTGTTTCCCTAAACAAGGTCGCCATCACCGGTACAGGGCTTAGGACTGCTGTGTATCCTAAGAGAGGCCATTCAGCCCCTGACCATGTGTCGTTTCCCCCGCTCTCTCCAAGCTGTGGGCTCTTTCCCCTCCTGGCCAACGCCGCCATGTCCGTGAGGCCAGTGCTCCTCGGCCTGTATGAGAAGTACTTCCTCCCGCTGCAGAAGCTGCTCCTGCCCAGTCTGCAGGCCTTCATCATCGGCCTGCTGCCCGGCCTCGAGGAGGGCTCGGAGATCTACGACAGGTGGGTGCCCCAGCCTGGGCCCTGCGAGCTTGAACCATCATGGTTTCTGGCCCCTCCCCAGCCGCTGGGGGGCCAGTGCCAGCTCGCGGCACCTCTGTGTGTCAGAGCAGAACTGTGCCCGCGAAGCTCTCTTCTCTTTGTGCATCTGATTTCTTTAAGTACACACAGCAAAACATAACTCCAACACAACAATTTCCACTTACACAGTTCACTGACGTTGATTGTGTGCTTCAGGCTGTGCTGCCAGTCTGGCTGTCCGTCTCCAAATCCTTCCACCACCGTGAGCGTAAGCTCTTTGTCCCCAAATAGTAACCGACTCTGTCCACTTCCCTCCAACCCTGCTCACCTCCGGTTACTACCTGTCCTTTCATGACTCACTCATTGCACTCATTCATGCATCAGGACCTGGCTTCTCGCTACGGGCGTGTGATAGTCCATTACGAGTGTAGACGGCACAGTGTCCATCCATCTTTCGGCCCTTGCAAAAGTGCTCCCGTGCACGCGGAGGGGGCTTTTTCAATCACTGAATTTTCCGAAGCTGATCATCGGGGCCTTCTTCTGAGGCAGCTCTAGGTGGACTCGAACTGCCAACCTCTTGGTTAGAAAGCCAAGCACGTTGGCTCTAAGAACAGAGGAAACACCACGCAGCACGGAAGGTTGAGAGACAGGGTTGATGGGTGATGTCTCTGGAGTGGCCTGTGCTCCGGGAACCTCACCGCGTCTCCGCCAGCACAGGAGGAGCTCCCAACTTTAGAGAGAGTAAGTCTCTCATCAGAGAAGGAGGCAGGGGCATGCGATCCGTCCAGGCCTTGTCCCATGGAGAGCTCTTTCTGTCATCTTATGGAGGACACAGAGAAGAAAGCACTAGGTCCCACTGTGGCCCTCTGCCAGGGAGGAACCCGCTGCACGCTTACTGATAGCCACAGTAGATGGGTGGCATGTTACTGTGTTTGTCCCCATTTGGCAAGTGAGGGTCAAAAGGTCAGCCGGAGATTGGATCCTCACCCACATGTGTCAGGTCCCATAGCCTTGTTCTCTCGAGTGTCTGGGCAGGCTCTAAACTTAAAAAGCAAAGACAGACCTCCTTAGTGGGTGGAGTTTGAGAAGGAGTTTGGTGCCCGTGCTTAGCAGAGTATCTTGGCCAAGCCCAGCTGTGCCTGGGAAAACTCAAACCCCAAGGTGCCAACACTCACAGGGTCTTTAGGTGGCTGGTGCAGAATGGGGGAAACGCATATCCCTCCAGCTCGCTGTGATGAATGTATACAATATGCGGTGCTGCTGAAGAATGATAGTGAGGACTCACTTGCGGCGTTTTGACTCTCCCGAGAGACACCACGGTGATGAACATCTGGTGATGTGACTGTCTTAAGAGCCAGTGGGCAGCCTGCCTGGGAGGTTGCAAGGTCCTTGTGCTCGCAAAAGTGTCCATTTGATTTCCCAACATACCGCCCCGATTTCCCCATGCCAGAAGGCTGGCCTGCGCCCCTGCCTGCCTGCCACGCCACCTTCTGTGACTGAGGGCCATGGCTTCTCAAGAGTGCCCCCGTCAGCTCCAGGAGGGCAGGCGCCCAGAACGGGTTGGAAGCTTGTAGTGTCTCACCAGCATCTCTACTGGGATTTCACACACCTGGCACTTTGGCTATTTGAAGCTTTCCTTTGGAGCTGGTGGTGGTTCTCAGTTTTCCACTGGGGAGTCCACCTTTACCCTCATTTCCTCCGGGGACGGAAGCTGTGCTGTTGTCTAGTGCCAGTGAGACTCGGGAAGTAGGTCCTGGCTTGCTAAAGGGTCCAGGCCACAGAGGGGTCATGTCCATATCCCTCAAATACTTTGTCTCAGGCTTTTTCTAAAACTTCAGCTATACTCATGTTTGACAACAGGTGTCTGTGTACATTTGTGTGTGTGTGTAAAGCTTTTCTTATCATGCAATAGGGGAGCATATCAGTTCTCATAATTGATGGACAATTTTAAGATTTGTAAGTGAATCACCCTAGGAGCGTGTGACAGCTTGGTTGTTGGTGTTTGGTCTCAGTTGGTGAATGAGGTCTCTTTGGAACAGGTGCTGTAGTTGCTTAACAGCATGGGTTTTTTACCTTGGTCACTAACATTGGGACTTCCTGGCACTGGACCAAAGGCCGCATGAATCACTGAGTGGCCCTTGGCCACTGGGGATCCTGAGTGACCAGCGTTCTCAGGTAGAGACTGGTTGGAGGCTCCACCTTCTTGGAGCACGTGTGTGTCCGCTCAAGAACCAAGCAAGCTGCAGACACCTGTTGTCGAGTGCTCAGGAATTGCGTAAACTCCCCTGCAAATGCTGTGCTGATGGGAAAGAGATTGTCCGTCTGATTGGTAGGAATTGCACAGGCTGATGAGGGCTGGGTGACTCACCAGGCTTTGTGTCGATGAGACAGTTCCTGGTTTAGGCTTTTGAGTGGCCCATCGGAATGGATGTTTTGGTTAATGTTAGGGCTTATCGTTCACTGGCCTCTCTCACCCCCAGTGGCCTGAAAAGTCCCTGCTTCTGGCCAGCATTCCTTCCTTACAGTGCATCCGTGAAATAGCTATGGAGCTCGGGATTGCTGCTTTATGGCAATGAAATATGGGGGTGGGCTGGGGAGAATGTTTCAAATGGTTTATGAGCAGCACTGACCCACCAGAGAGTCATAACTATGCTAAGGCGGTTTTGCCCCCCAGGGGACCTTGGGAAACATTTTTGGTTGTTGCTGACATCTAGTGGGTAGAGGCCAGGGATGCTATACCTTGTAATTGTTCATAGAATCTGCTAAGATCCGAAGTTCTTCCATGTTTGTCCCCAAGCCGACCCTATAAAGTTCCACCCCAAGGATGACCCTGTAAACAGTTCTGCACGGACAGGAAAGAATGTGTCTTTGTCAGAAACCAGCGAGCCAAGGACAGTGACGACCACAAATGATGAAGACTGAAAATGACTACCTGGCGCTCTCATGACGCCGCCAATCGGTCATGAAGACCACAGCCTGTGCTCCCACCCGAGAGGAGCCAACCAAGCCCGTCCCTCATGTCGGTACAGTACAGGGCACTCGTCCCTGTGCTCGGGGCTGACGGATGGAAGACTGTTCTGCCTCAGCCCGTCTGCACCAAGGCGAGAAATAAACATTGCTGTTTGCAACCCACCTGGCCTCATGACAGAATGGAGTCTCTTCTCTGGACCGAACAGTCATGCACACGAGAGCCCCTCCCACAAAGCATGACCCGATCTCAAATGCCAGTTGTGCAGGGTTGAGAAATCCTGATTTAAATCGCTCAGAAAGAAGGATGATTAGGATAATTCCAGGCACCATGCTGATGTGCTGGCTTGTTCTAGTCTTCGCCCTTCATTGGAACCCTAGCTGACCTGGGACTTGGGGTGCACAACACTGTGGTCCCTTCCCGCTTGTCAGACCATCATGCCCGAAGCTATTAGGCCTTCTGGCAGCTCAGCTCCCCAGTGGCTATCTGCGTGGCCAGGAGCTATAGAGCCAGGCTTGTGAAATGCTTGCCTGGTGTGAACAGCCCTGAGCCACTCCCTTGCTGCCAGTCAAGCAGAGAGGGGACTATCAGTGTCCGTTTAATGAGCTGGTATTGGACCAGAGCTGGGAGAATCACAGCCAGAGGTTCTGAGGGAGAGTGGTAGGAGCGGTGAGGTAGGGATTTGGGGGTGGGGGTGGGGATAGTTGTTAGTTTGGGTTGGTAGGTAGTTTTCAGTAGAGAGCTGGACTCCAAACTCCACCTCACTCATTTTGAAATTCACCCCACTAAGATAAGATGTGTAATTCGTGAATTATTCTTCCTTAGTAGGAAGTTATTAAGGATGTAATGTTGCTACTTTGGGGTTTGGGACTTTAAGCCACGAAAATGTATTCTCTCCTGGTTCCAACAGCTTGAAGTCCGAAAATGTAGCAGCTGGGCAAGGCTCCATCGGAAAGCTCTTGGGAGGATCCTCCTTGCCTCTTTCCGCTTCTGCCGGCCCCAGGCATCCTTTGGCTTGTGGTCACATCACTCTAATCCAGTGGTTCTCAACCTTCCTAATGCCGCGACCCTTTAATACAGCTCCTCATGTGATGACACCCCACCACCACCACCATAAAATTATTTTTGTTGCTACTTCATAACTGTAATTTTGCTACTGTTATGAATCGGGTGACCCCTGGAAAGGGTCATTCGACCTCCAAAGGGGTCAAGACCCACAGGTTGAGAACCACTGCTCTGATCTCTGCTTCTATCTTCACATGGTCGGTTTCTTCTTCATCTGTCCCTGTGGCAGTTAAGTAGTTTTTGCACCTCCAGAACAAGGACCTGTTTCAATTGTTCTTTCCCCACCAAGGATCCCTGGTGGCCTAGTGAGTTATGAGGTAGCCTCCTACCTGCAAGGCCAGTAGTTTAAAACCACCAGCCGCTCCATGGGAGAAAGAGAAGGAATAAACTGTTGATTCCCGTAAACAGTTACAGTGGAATTTCCCCACCACTTCTTGGAAACCCTCTCACGTGTGTTTGTTCAGCCTTAAGAGAAAAGCATGATGGTCAGTCGCTAAATGGTGCTGTGTACTTTTCTTCATCCTTGACTCTCATTTTTGTTGTGTTTTGTATAAAAATGGTGACACCACGCATCATTAACTACTATTCACATCTTATACGTTACAAAGGTTTAGATTAGCTCTAAAAGGAACAAAATTCGTTTTGAATACAGAAAGATAGTAGGTAGTTCTGTAAGGGATATTTTCATATGGACCCGCGTGGCTGTGAAACAGTACACTGGGGGTGGTTCATCTGATGGCTGTTTGGGGGTGCCCACAGTGCCGGATGCTCTCCTGGGACTTGGAGACATGCCAGCAAACAGGCATGCAGGTAGCATGTCCCCTGCAATGTCACACAGTTAGTCCACAGGCAGGACCTCTTTCCTATCTCGGAGCTGAGTGCCAGCCTGCCCTGAGGTTGAGCTTATCCTGCCTTCCACAGCCAGAACGCATCAGAACCGGGGTTTAGACCCACTTGAGTGGGCCCTGCTCTCGTCTGTGTGGTACTATGATGGCAGAGACTAACCAGAGTCCCATTGGTGGCCAGGAACCTGCATGGCTTAGTTCCTTCCCGAGAGCACGCAAAAGAAGTCAGAGCAGCCAACACCCCAGTGTAGACTGTCAGTCCCCATAACTGTGAGGCAATCCACTACTACTCCGTGAAACTCTGTAATAGCAGCCCTAGGAGACTAAGGTGCTGGGTACGCACCACCTTCCCCCAGTCTTGGCTGCTCACCAAATGGTCAGTGGTTCGAGTTCACCCAGAGGCACCTCCAAAGGAAGGCCTGGAAATCGAGGTCCCTGCAATAAAGCTAAACAAACAAAACCCCTGTGGAGCATAGATCTACTCAGACACGTGTGGGGTTCTCTGTCTACTTTGAAAATGATGGGAGACCTACCTGGGAGGGCCTGAGCGCTTTCAGATTTTGCATCACCTCAGGGATTCAGTGAAACCCCTGTGTGGGAACTGGCCCAAGCTGGCAGTCAGTTACAAGTGCACCCCGAGCCGAGCAGGGCCCTAGGCCAGGAGAGTGGAAGAGCAAACCCCGATCCCCTGACAGAGCTGCCCTGCTGCCAGGGCAGCCAGTGGGCCCGCATGCAGATAACATCAGGCCTCAGCATGAGAGCGGCACGGTGCAGGCGTCAGCAGGCATCAGTGCTGCGGGAAGGTGAAGCACAGTCCTGGTTTCTAGAATTCATGTTGCCGTCAGTGGGTGCTGGCGATCAACTCCAGCTCATAGGACCCCATGTAACAGGGTGGAACTGCCCTGTCAGATTCTCAGGCTGTTGTCTTTGTGGAAGCAGACCACCAGCGCTTTGTCCCCCCTGGAGAGCCACTGGGTTTTGCAGCACCAACTTTTCAGGTAGCCTCTGAACACTGCCAACCCTTTTGCCGGCAGGGCCCCTAGTGGAATGTATACAGCAATGAAATTTGCCCCCAGAGTTTCTAAAGCCAGAGTGATCTTTATTAGTAGGGTCCCTGGTGGTGTAATGGGCTTTGAGTTAGGCTGCTACCTGCATGATCAACAGTTCAAACCCACCAGCCGCTTCTTGGGAGGAAGATGAGGCTTTCTACTCCTGTCAAGATTTGGAATCTGGGAAACCCACAGGGGCCCTACTCTGTCCTATAGGGTCCTTGCAAGTCAAATCAACTCGGTGGCAGTGAGTGAGTTAGTGATATTTGACTGTGGGAGTGAATAAGTGAAGCCAGTCAGTCAGTTAGTCAATCAGTCATGCCAACCTTTACCCCTTCCTGAATCAAGTACTCATGGAGAACACAATTGACGCCTGCAACAAATAGTTTCCACTTCAATGCTCTGCAGGTGTATGACTGTGACAGCAGTGCTGTTGACCACACTGTTCAGCTGTCACCACCACCCTCCTTGGCCACATTTCCTAGCATCCTCCACAGGAAGCAGCTGGGTTGGTGGGTTAGACGTGGGGCTGCCAATCACAAGTTAAACTCCCCAGTTGCTCCAGGGGAGAGAAATGAGGCTTTCAGCTCCCAAAATGACCTGTAGCTTTGGAAAACCCCACCGGGGCAGTTCTGCCTTGCCCTCCAGCGTGGAATAGACCTGGTGGCGGTGAGTTTGGTTGGTGGGTCTCCTCCCCAGCCCCACCCCGTCCCGGGTGACCACTGAGACACTTTGGTCTTGATACGCTTGCCTAGTCTGCATGATTCAGGTTCTGCGTGTGGAATCAGACCATACCTTTCCCCTCGTGACTGACCTCACCCAGCCTCATGTTTCCAGGCCCATCCATGCTGTGGCGGGCGTGGATTTTCTGAGACACGTGAGTGGCTCCTGTCGCTGGCTGCCATGGTGACAGCCTGTCCCTGTGTGGGAAGGAGCCCCCTCCTGTGAGCACTGCCATGGCCATGGTGAGCCTGAGGCCAGAGCAGGGCTGACTTTAGGACCCACCCGCTCACAATCCCCCCCCCTTCCGTGGCATTTGTTTCAGCAACACGTTCAGCGTGGTCCCTGGCAGGTGGACAGACGCCGAAGGACAAGGCGGCAGCACAGAATGCTAACAGATAGGCGGCGAGCCCCGTGGCCAGCTGTGAGCGCGGGCAGGCTGCGCGGAGGGAGCCCTCATGTCTCTTCCTCTTCCTCGCACAGGACAGACGCCTTGCTGCTGAGGCTGTCTGTGGTGGTCGGCCGGGAGGTGTTCTACGCCGCCCTCTGGGGGAGTGTCCTGGCCAGCCCGGCCGTGCGCCTCCCAGCCTCGCTCTTTGTTGTGGGCCACATCAACCGCCAGGCGCCGGTCACGGAGCAGAGGTTCATGCTGGGGACGGATTACCAGCTTACGGTAGGTGTCACCTTGCTTCACTGGACACACACCTCCCCCCTTCCCAGCGCAGACCAGCACCCAGGCCACGGGATGCAGGAGCGCTGGGCATACGGAGGCAGGTGCCCGGGGTCTGGCGGTGTTCTGAGGAGCTAGGCAATGCCGGGAGGAGTCTCACTGTGGCACAATGAGATTGAGACATTTTATTTAATACTCCACTTTCCAGAGCAATTTTAGGTTTGCAGAAAATTGTCCCTCGGGTACCGACTTCCCATGGGTCCTACCCCCTGTACACAGTCTTTCCTGCCATTGGCATCTTGCATTTGTTACGATTGAAGGACTAGTACAGGCTGCCCTGGACCACGAGTAGGCCCCAGGCCTACGTCTGTGTGTACAATGGAATTGTCCCCCAGTCTGAGCCGTGAGGTACGGTTCGTATCTGATGTCAGGCAAACCTTTGTCTTACTACATGGCACCCAGGCTACCTTTCTGTGCTACAAAGCAGGGAACACCTCCCGGGTGCCCCGCATCATCTTCATCAGAGTGCAGAGCCGCAGTCGGTGTCTGTGGGAGCCGCAGTCAAGAACCCTGTCTCAGTCAAGCTCTCTGTGGGCCATCACCTTTGTGGACTATGTTGTGCCTGTTGACCTGAGCCCCTCGTTCCCTGAATGTGTTTGGTTATATCTGAGAAGCTGTGCTAACCTGACTCCCCGTGTGCTCTACTCTTTACATGTTACGATTGTCAGGTGCCCTCGAGCCGGTTCCAACCCATAGCAACACTGTGCACAACAGAACGAAACACTGCCTCGTCCTGCCCCAGCCTCACAACGGTTCCTATCTTGAGCCCGTCATTGCAGCCACTGTCAGTCCAGCTCTCTGAGGGCCTTCCTCTTCTTCGCTGCCCCTCCTCTTGACCAAGCACGACGTCCTGCTCCAGGGACTGGTCTACCCTGACAACATATCCAGAGGACATAAGATGAAGTCTCTCCATCCTTGCCTCTAAGGAGCACTCCAGCTGTACTTCTTCCAAGACAGCTCAGTTATTCCTTTCAGCAGTCCATGGTACTTTCAGTATTTCTCTTCAGCACCACAATTCAAATGCCTCAATGGCTTCGGTCTTCCTTATTCGATGTCCATCTTGCACATGTATATGAGACAGTGGAAAATACCATGGCTGGGATCAGTCCTCAAAGTAACATTCTTGCTTTTCAATACTCTAAGGAGGCAGCAGATTTACCTAATGCAACACATGTATATCCATGTAACACCTATATCCAGATGACTTTTCAGCATAGCGTTAGAATTGGTAATGTCACGTTCTAGCCCCCTCCTGCACCTGGGTTCTCTGTACCTGGCACTCAGGAAGCTCTGCTGCTGCTTCAGCTAAACTCTTTTCACACTCTCTTTCACTCAGAAGTCCTCTCCTCCAGGCTCTGTATCAACAGTGGCTCCTGCTCCTGCCCCTGTGCCCCCTCCTCCTTTGTCTTCTCTCAAACCCATACTGCCCGGGTTCAATAGGAGTCCATCCTCTGGCCCTCAATCAAGAATCTTCTCCCCCCAGCCTTCCCTTTGTCTCATCTGTCCATGAAAGAAGCTTTGGTGGCTTAGTGGGTTGCACAAGGTCAATGGTTTAAACCCACCAGCTGCTCTGCAGGAGAAAGATGAGGCTGTCTCCTCCTATAAAGATTTAAAGGCTCGGAAACCCAAAAAGGGATAGTTCTACTTTGTCCTGTAGGGTCACTGTGAGTGGTATTTGAGGAACCAGAGTTGGGTTCTTGGTAGCCTGCTATGTACCGCCACCTAGTGGTGACCGCTCTATGAGAAAGTCCTGGTTCTGTGTGCTGCTCTGTCCTGGAACTCTCTGTAAGGTGGAAGTGGAAGGCCTGCCTACGTGGACTTGTGAGGACTCAGTGGAGACACCCAGCATGGTGCGGGGACATAAAGGGACCCTTTTAAATAGGTTCCACCGCTCCTGTTCCTTGGCCTTCCTTAGGACACCCTCCTTCAATTCATGGCCTCGCTCCACTTCTGTCCTGCTCCTTGGTCAGAACGTGATTTTTTGGTAATTTCTCCACCACCCCCATCCTCTGCCTGTCCAACTCTTATCAATTGTTCAGAAATTCACTCCTCAAAGGCAGGGGTTTGCTCGTATGTGCCCTGTACTTTGACGGCTTCTGGCTTCCTGCTGCCTCCAGGTTTGAGGCCAAAGGCCAGGGATTCTGACAGTCTGCTCCCAGCTGATGGCTCTCTCTAGCTGATGTAGCTGCTGTTAAGTCAACTCTGACCCATGAGCTGTGTCTCAGGAGACCTGTGCCCCATAGAATCCTCTGTGACCGATTTTATAGAAGTAGATTATCAGGTGTTTCTTCCAGGACATCTCTGGGTGGACTTGAACCCCCAGCCTTTTGGTGAACAGCTGAGTATGTCAACAATTTGCATCCCTCAGGGACTCCATGTGCCCTCATGGAAAAAAATATAAAACGACCCTGTGGCCACCAAGTCAGTTCAGAATTGTGGCAACCCTCTAGACAGTCTAGGACTGCCAAGGGTCTCCATGGCTCTGATCTCTGCCCAGCAGACTGCCACATCTTTCTCCCTCCCCAGGGCATCTAGCCCTTCAACAGATTGCTGGGCCGGCCTCAGGCCCGGGGATGCTGCATTTGTGCTCTCCTCTTCCTTCTTCTTGCTCTCGCGGCCCCTCCCTCCCTCTCCAAGATCTTCTTGTAGAGCCAGCCTGCCCTTTGAGCTCCAGGTTCTGCCCGGCGCAACAACTGCTGCCTTTTGGAATTTTCAGAGCTCTTCTCTTACTGTCTGGCATGCCTCTGTAGTACCCATGTCTTCAAACATGGCACTCAAAATATATATTGGATCGATTTGAAACCCATTTGGCCAAGTGTCGCCACAGATTTAGTCTAACCCAAGATCCCTGTCGGAAACTCTAGGATGTTCTTGTGAGGGATCATAGAACGTGCTATCTCTGCCTAAACCAGCCCATCTCTCGGGTGGAACCAGCAAGGTCTGTAGCCTAGCATGCTCCTAGGGTAACCCAGCTCCACTACCTCTGAGGCTGGGACCCACCTCTCCGGCCTTCTACTTGATGCTTCTGTTCCACAGGACTTAACCCAGTGAGTTCAAGATTCCCAGGGAAGGTCCCTTCCCGTTCTGTGGCTGGCAAGAGTAGCATGCACGTGATGGTGAATGTCTTTGTAATAAGGAGCCCGGTGGGCCGGGGTTCAGATGCTCTGATGCTGTCACTCCGGGGGACCTTCTGCCTCCACACAGGTCCCCGGCAGTTCTCCTGTCTGTTCTCTAGGGCCCCTGGGGGTCAACAGCCCAGGACTTGGTTTGTTTTGTCTCCGTATTGTGAGGCTGAATCCTGATTTGTCACTCGTAGGTCAAATCTTTATGCGCCTCCCTGCTGGACTCAAATGTCCTGGTGCAGAGGAATCATCTGGAAATTGTCCTCTTCTTCTTCCCGTTCTACAGCTGCCTGGTAAGTTGTCTGGCAGGTCACCAGTGTCTCCCGATTTGGGTGGGGGGGCGGCAGTTTGGCCTGGAGAGGTGCTTAGCTGTCCCTCAGGCAGGCGACCCAAGTGCCGCTCTTCTTTGTGAGCAAGGTGTTGGCACAGCCATATGGAGCAGCTTCTCACCAAGCACCCTGTGTGGGGGCCAGCTCCCTGGAGAACTGCTGCTGTGAGAGAGAACTTTGTGGACTGGGAGGAAAGGGCTCTCTCTGGCCCCCAGGGGATCACACAGGATGTGCTTTCAGCTGCTAACCAGAAGGTTGGTGGTTCAAACCCACCCATTCGTGATATGTAACCAAAGCCCGGTGATCCCCTCGGTCAAGATTTGCTGTCCTATGCCATCTAGTTATTTTTGGCTCATAAGGAGCTGTAGGACAGCATTGAACTGCCACGTTAGGTTTCCAAGGTGGGCTTTTTTTAAAATCATTTTATCGGGGGCTCGCAACTCTTATTACAATCTGTACATACATCTGTTGTGTCAAGCACATTTGTACATTTGTTGCCCTCATCAGTCTCAAAACATTTGCTTTCTACTTGAGCCCTTGGTATCAGCTCCTCATTTTCCCCCTCCCTCCCTACTTCCCCCTCCCTCATGAACCCTTGATAATTTGTAACTTATTATTATTTTGTCATGTCTTACACTGTCCGATGTCTCCCTTCAACCACTTTCCTGTTGTCCATCCCCCAGGGAGGAGGTGATATATATAGGTCCTTATAATTGGTTCCCCCTTTCTACCCCACCTTCCCTCCGTACCCTCCCAGTATCGCCACTCTCACCACTGGTCCTGAAGGGATCATCTGTCCTGGATTCCCTGTGTTTCCAGTTCCTATCTGTACCAGTGTACATCCTCTGGTCCAGCCAGATTTGTAAGGTAGAATTGGGATCATGATAGTGTAGGGGGAGTAAGCATTAAAGAACTAGAGGAAAGTTGTATGTGTCCTTGTTGCTACACTGCACCCTGACTGGCTTGTCCCCTCTCCTTGGCGGGCTCCCGACTGAGGCAGATTGCCGTGGCTTTCTCCCTTGGAGCAGCTGGTGGGTTCCGGCGCTCACCTTTTGGTTAACAGGAGTGCTTAACCACCAGCCATCGGGGCTCCTTCCTAAGGATAGTACAGCCAAGAGAAACCCCATGAAGTAGTTCTTCCCTGTAGACACATGAGCCACCATGAGTCAGAATTGACTGGAAAGCAACAGGTTTAGTGTTTGTTTGTTTGTTTGTTTGTTTAAGGAAGTTGTTGAGACAGGGCAAAGGAGCAAAGGTGGAGATTTGGACAGAGCATGCTTGGAGTCTGTGACAATATTTAGGGATTACATTTCCCAGGACTCCTTGCTATGCCTGGTGGCAGTTCCCCAGGAATGCATGGGAACTTTTAAAAGGTTGAGTATGCATGTGGGAAGTAAGAAATGCTGAAATCAGCCTGGCTGGCTGGTAAGATTTTCTTCCTCCTTAGGAGTTTGTTATTAAAATTCTCTTGTGAGGCTCCATGTCTTCCAAAAGTAAACCTTTTTTGGGGGTGGGTGGCGGGTGGTAAGACAAGAACCTGAATTCCAATAACAAAGGGCAGCATGTCAGAAATCCATTAATGTACTCGACGGTCCCTTTAGTAACGCTTTCTCTGTCCTTCTCATAGGATGCCGACGAGCGAGCCATCCCGCTGCCCAGGTCTGACATCGTGCATATTCTCTCAGCAGCCACCCAGACCCTCCTCAGGAGAGAGATGTCCCTGAACAGAAGACTCTATGCCTGGCTGCTAGGTACTGTGGGGATGCAGGGAGTTAGAGCCCAAGCAAATGAAGCTGCATTAATCCACGTCAATTAAGGAAACAAATTCAGAGACACTCGTGTGTGTAAGTGAGAGCTTTATATCAAAGAGCAATTGAATATTGAGAAATATTCCAGCCCAGTCCAGATGAAGTCCATAGGTCCAATATTAGCCCATATGCCCAATACTAGTCCATAAATTCCTCTTTAGACTCATGCAGCACATGCAATGATGCCAAATGCATGAAGATCACAGGCCACTGGGTGGAAAGTCTTGTGAGTCCAGTGGCGGTGGACGCATCTCCAGGGCTCTGGCTGCCATCAGCGTGGCTCCTCAGCAGCCAGGGGAAGCAGAGAGAGGGTGCCCTGCCTCCAGGGAGGAAGAGAGGCTGTGACCTGATTGATGGGCTAGACTCCACCCCCTTCATTCTATTTTTCAAGTTGACATGAAATTAGGTAACTACTACAGAAGCCTCCCAGGGCCAACTTTTGGGATAAAACGCCCATCTTGGCAGTAGATTTCTCACTCCTGAATGTGGAACGTTAGCACGCTAAGTGAATATGGCACCTGTCCCTTGAGTTCTGTGGCCTATGTGCTCGGCTCCTCTTAGTTATCTTGCAACTATTAGAAAAATAAGGGGAAAAAATAAATGAGATATTTTTTTTAAATCCCATTTGAATCTCATTTTAAGAAGTTTGAAATACCACAAAAGTTACAGGTAAGCCTTATTCAAGCAGAACCGTGTTGCTGTGGAAAAGGTTTGTGGGCTGAAGGGATGAGTGGGAGGAAACGCCAGGAACACTGTAGCCTACAGATGAGAGCCAAGGAGAACTTTGGGAGGGGGGTGGAATCTCTGGGCTTGTGTTGTTGAGGGTGGGCATGCAATCACTGTGTACAGCCCGTCAGTTTATAGGGAAGCAGTGTTGGGGTGGGAAGCTTCCCAGAGACCAAAGCACAGACCAAACCCACTGCCACTGACTCTGGGTTTGCAACCCAGCACATCACTCATACGTGCCCAGGGCTCCTTCACAGAGATGCATCCAAAGACCACTGCTGTCGAGTTGGTTCTGGCTCATACTGACCCTACATAGGATTTCTGAGGCTGTACATCTTTATGGGAGCAGACAGCCTCATCTTTCAACAGTAGAGTGACTGGTGGGTTTGAACCGCCAACATTACAGTTAGCAGTCCACCACTTACCTGACAGCACCACACAGGGGCAGGGTCCTGGGAATTGCAGAGCTTACGGGAAGGCAGGCTTCCCTGGATAGTGCAAATGCTTAATACCCCCTGCTCAGCGACTCACAGGGGCACTTCAGCCCTGTCTTATATGAGCTGGCGGCCAACTGAAATGTTGGCTGTTGAAATCTAGCCTGAGGCACCTCAGCAGAAAGGCCTGGCCATCTACTTCCCAAAAACTAGCCATTGGAAACCTTACAGGGCACCTCTCTCTGACACACATGGAGTCACCACGAGTTGCCCACTAGTTATCTAGGGGTTTCTGTTAACGGCAAAGAAAGGCACATCTAAGCATTTTATTAATGCCCACATTCATATGCCTAAGGAAAGTTAATTTACAAACTCTGCTAAACACACATATATGATCAGGATATTCTCTTAACCTTCTCTTCCCTCCTTTTCTACCTTGTAAACCTTTGAGGGCAAATGGCCAAGGATTTTAAAGAGAATGTCCACAGGTTCTTTAAGCATTAAATCCAAAGGTTGAATTTGTTAAAGCCAGCACTCAGTTCCTTGTGGGAATTGTCATGCTGTGCTTAGAAAGTACCTGGGCCCTCTGCCTCATGCTCTCAGCTGCCCTCTGAGGCTCAACCTGAGGGCGTGTCTGGGAGAATGTCTTGGTTTCTCATAAAAACCGGGAAGTGAGTCACCGACAGCTCATGGCAGCCTCGTGTGTCAGCGTAGAACTGTGCTTAGTAGGGTGTCGATGCTGGGGGTTTTAGTAGTCCATCACCAGACCTTTCATCCGAGGTGCCCCTCGGTGGGCTTGAACATTCCAACTTTTGTGTTGGCTGCCAAGGGTGTTGACCATTCGCACCACCCAGGGACTCCTGGTTTCATATAGTGCTACTTGAACAACGATGGTGGGGTTTGGTTTCTGTTTCTAAGATTATCCTTGTTCACTTACATACCTGTGATCGTAATTGTGACCTGGGTAGTGCAGGAGTTAGATACTCAACTACCCCCCGGAAAGGTTGACAGTCGGAACCCACCCAGAGGTGCATCAGAAGATAGGTCTGGCAAACCACTTTCTAGAGGACACAGCCTGGAAATGCCATGTGGTGGGAACAGTTCTATTCTGCACACAGGGGGGCCCTGTGAGTCAGCGCCCACCAACAAGGGACATCATAACTGGGAAAGGCAGCGAGGGGAGGCTCTTGATGCCACTAGAGATGGACTCCTGGCCCACCACTGTCAGAGGGTACCACGTCGAATCAGCAAGAGCTGCCATGGTCTGCTTTGGGTTTTCTGTTGAAAGAATTTATTTCCAGAAATGCCAGAGCACCAGACTTTAGTACAGTGGGACGTGCTTTCAAAGCATAGGCCCCTTTACAACGGCGTGGTGTTTGCTTTCTTCCAGGCTCAGACATTAAAGGAAATAACACTGTGCCGGAATCGGAGACCTCACCTTCTTATGAAGACCAGTCCTCTTATTTTTTTGAGAAGTACTCCAAGGATCTGTTAGTTGAGGTAAAGGAAAGCCATCCCTGGCATTCTTTTCTTTTTTACCCTTTATGGTAGTGCAAATATATATGATAAAATATTCACCAGGTCAAGGGTCACAAGGAGGAGACAAGCCAGTCAGGGTGCAGTATAGCACTGATGAAACACACAACTTCCCTCGAGTTCTTTAATGCTTCCTCCCCACCAGCCCACCTCCACTATCATGATCCCGATTCTACTTTATAGATGGGATTAGACCAGAGCATGCCCACTGCTACAGATAAAAGCCCACAACACAGGGAATCCAGGACACATAAACCCCTCAGGGCCAACAATGAGAGTAGAGATACCAGGAGGATAAGGGGAAATGCCACGTGGGGGGAGAAAAGGGGAATCTGTCACAAGGATCAACATACAACCCCTCCCAGGGGGGTGACAACAGAAAAGTGGGTGAAGGGTGACAGAGGACAATGTAAGACATGAAAATAATAATCTATAATTTATCAAGGGTTCATGAGGGAGGGAGGGCGGGGGGTGGAAGGAAAAAAATGAGGAGCTGATATCAAGGGCTCAAATAGAAAGAAAGTGCTTTGAAAATGATGATGGCAACATATGTCCAAATGAGCTTGACATAGTGGATGAATGATTGGATTGTGATAAGAGATGTAAGAGCCCCCAATAAAAGTATTTAATGAAAAATATATACTGCATATACTCGAGTATAAGCCAACCCAAATATCCACCAAGGCACCTAATTTACCACGAAAACTGCATTAAATATGTGTTGAAAAACTCGACTTATACTGGAGTATATAAGGAATCTATATTCACCAGCTCAACAATTTCTACATGTACAATCCAGGGGCACTGATTATTCCACCATCATTAACCCCATAAGAAAAATATTTTCTATAGGTTTCCATGTTTTTTTTTAAATTTTCATTCCTCTTCTTTCCTCTGGGTCGGGAGAGACCAATAGGTGCACTGTACCAATAGGTGCCAGTCACTACTCCCCCAAGTAGGATGTGTGAACTGCTGGGCCACTCGACCTTGATGTCCCCAAGACGGAGGTTCTCTGGTGGCTCCTGATCGTGGTGCTTCAGGGGGCCTCTTTGCCAGACCTCACAGGCGATTCACATGTTCCATGGCTTAGTGATCTGCGGCATGTCGGTTGCCTGCTGCTCACTGGCTTTCTGTGCATCCAGAGTGCTTAACAGGTAGCGCAACCTTGACTGTCAGGCTTTACCGCCGTGCTTACAGTCTACAGGAGGAAGACCAGGTTTCCCACTTCTGTAGAATTAGCCTCGGAAACCACAGGGCAGTTCTACCCTGCCCTGTAGGGTCGCTGTGCCTCAGCATGGACTCGATGGCGGTGAGTTGTAACGGTCCTAATATGTGGCTTTTTAAACACTAGAGCTTGGTTGAAATATTGCACCAGAACTTCACAGGTGTTGACGTGGAGGAACGCCATCATGCTTACCTGAAACCGTTCCGCATCCTCGTCAGCCTGCTGGACAAGCCGGAAATAGGTAATGCGGGAAAGGGTTTGGAGGCACACACGGTGGTTACGCGTTGGGCTGCTTCACCACACGGTCAGCAGTTTGAAAGAACCGGCCATTCCTCAGGAGAAAGACAAGGATTTCTACTCCCATAAAGAAGTGACAGTCAGAAACGCACAAGGGCTGTTCTGCCCTGGCCGTGGGGTCACTGTGAGTTGGAATCGACTCGAAGGCAGTGACATCGAGGGGGCTGGAGGGAGGAGGCACGGGTGATTTGCAGGCGCAACTGCTACCTGAAAGGTTGGCGGTTTGGTCCACCCGGAGGCCCCAGCCATTGAAAGCCCCGTGCATTGAAGATGCAGTGTCGCGCTGACACACAAAGGGACACTGACGGTCAGAGCCAACTCCGTGACAGCGCCTTGGTTCAGAAGTGATACGGTGCTGTTTTCTGGAAGGGTAGGCCATTATCGTTATACTCCAAATACATAAATTCCAAAAAGAGATGACTGGTTTTCACAGAATGAAAATAGAATAATCACTCAATGACTGATTTTTGGATATCATCCAATCTTCGAGACTCTAGAATCTTAAAAGATCGCAGTCGTGTCATGTGGCTCAGCTACTATATTAGGGGGAAACTGCGTGGCTTCACTCCAGTCACTTGAATATTTTCATTAGGAAAATGCCTTTAAGCTCCTCCTCATATTTCACCCATATCTGTTCATGTGCTTTAAAACGTAGTGTTTTAAGATTGCCTCTTCAATCCTTGACCTGGGGTTTTATTTTAAAATAAATCAGGATTTATTTTTAAGTAAATCCTCCATCTCTTTCCCTGATGCCCTGCGGTAAGCCCCTTCTGCCATGTGGGCCTGACTTTTACTATAAAAAGAGGGGGTTGAACTACGTTCAGGACCCTCTTAGGTAGGCCTACAGACCCCTGAGCATCAGTGAGAAAAGTGATCCTCTTTTTTCGCTTTAGAACCACCCCCACCCCACCCCCCACCCCCACCCCGCCCTTTGCTGCACCATCCCTCCACACTGACACGCTAGCATCTAGTCCTGGAGCTCTGTTGTGCTTGAGCACCACAAAGGGAAAGCCTCTCCCATCGTCCACACCAACTGGATTTCCAACAGGAGCCTGTATCATGACTGCCCAGCCTGTGCCCACAGATAGATGCACGGTTGCTGTTTGAAAAGGGCCAGGGGCATGAGTGAGGTAGCTGACTCTCCCACCTAAGGATAAGACTGTTCAGGTGCTTGTTCAAAGACAGGTAGGAGACATCAGCTATGTGGGAGGCACCCTCTGAGGCTTGAGGGGTACAGAGGGATGAAAAGGCTAGTGAACCGAAGACTCGGATCCTCAGAGCTTCGCTGTGGTTAATATTCATGGCTGGCTTTTTGTTGTTGTTATTGCTGTTGTGTTGTGTTTTTTTCCCCAAGCAATAATTTGGTGCTGAATGGTTTGTGCCATTATAATGCCATCCTCCAGCACAGTGGTTCTCAACCTGTGGGTCGCGACCCCTTTGGGGGTCGAATGACCCTTTCACAGGGGTCGCCTAGGACCACTGAAAATCACCTATTTTTATGGTCTTAAGAACCAAACACCAGAGCCTCCCCCGCGCCGGCCATCGAGAGCAAGTCGAGTGACTCACCTCCGCCCCGCTACCTCCTCACTGGCTTCCCCCTCGCACA